TTGCAAAAGCTCTCGGACAACTGAGATCCTGCCAAATATTTACAACTTACATTCTAGAAAAGTTGAAACTCTTATATTTCTTCCTGCCAACTTAGCACTTTTCTCCTTTCTTGTTCTTAGAGATAAAATAACTTGGCACATTATATAGCATAAGAAATAAGTGAATTAAGACTAATATCTTGGTTACTAGCATAAAAAATATTTTTGACATGGGTCATTTTCTTACCCTTATTGGTAGATGTCAACAGAAAATTAGATGGGAAAAAGAAGACAACCAAGGAATAAAATGCATTTTAACTATTTTAAGTGGTTTGGTTCTGAGATTATCTGAACGATTCCAAAGCACAGAGCTATGTACTACAAGGATTACCAGACAATGAAATGAAATCCTCATGCCAGGATTGAGTTTTCATCATTATATTATAAGTTTGGAAGAAATTCTCATGTGCTTCAAGCCAGACCTCAGAATGAACTTTGGGCCAGTTATGGACTAAATGTTTATGCGTCCCCCAAATCCATGTTGTAGTCTTAACCCTCCAGTGTCATAGTATCTGTAAGTGGGGCCTTTGGGAAGTAATTAGATGTATATGAGGTCATGAGGTGATGCCCCCATGATGGGTCTAGTGTCCTTACGAGAAGAGGAAGAGAGACAGAGTTCTCTCTCTCTCTCTCTCTCTGCCATGTGAGGACCCAGCCAGGAAGAGGACTCTTACCAGGAATCAAATCTGTCAGCACCTTGATCACCTTGATCTTGGGACTTCTCAGACTTTCAAAACTATGAGGAACAAATGTTTGTTCTCTAAGTCCCCGGTCTACAGTATTTTGTTATAACAAAATAGACGCTGTTTTAGTTAGCCTAAGCTGACTAACACAGGTTTTAAATTTGTTGAATATTTGTTGGACAAAATAAACAAGAAAACATACAAACAATACATCAAACCAGACTCAGTCTGATCCAAGAAATTATAGGGTACCCAATCCTTTCAAAGCTGACAGCAATTATGTCTCCATCCTGGGGGTAGACTATCTCTTAGTTATAGGATAAACCACTGCCTTGGTTATTTAATAAGCAAGAAGAAAGAGGGAAAGTCGGTTTCAAAAAGCTCTGGGGGATTAAAAAAAATGTTGAGACAGGTCAAATTGCTTATTTGTGGGTTATTTCTTCTAGTGAGAAATGTTTTTATCCTGAGTACTTAGGATTTCCCTGTGACTGAAAGCCTGGGTGTTGCTGATAAGTGATTGGGTGCCAAGGACCAAAAATTCATGAAGCTGCATTCATAAAAGACTTAGTAAAACCCTGGGCCTAACATACATTTCTGTGAAGCTTAGCTGACTCTGGGTGTACACGCACACCTGTGTGCATGTGTGTACACATGCATGCCTGCTGTCCATGTCCGTAAGGTGCTAGACTGATGGGACCAAGCACACTCAAGCATCACAGAATGGCTTTGGAAACAGGCCTTCCAAGGGAGGCAGTTGGAAAAGTGACACAATGTCCTGATCCAGAGGCCAGATCAAAGATATGAGGTTGACCTTTTTATTCTGTTACAAGTGAAATATTATCATTCTCATCTCAGAAGTAAGCGAGCACGCTGCAATGGTGTGGGAAGTGTGTGCTGCCATTTCAGTTTGGGTGTGCCTGTAAAGGTGACCTCAGTGAGACTGTGAAGCCCTGGATGTGCAGGTTGCATGTGTTTTTGTAGGGGTAGGATACAGACAGAAAGAGATGGATAAAGATGGGAATGGGGAAATTAAGACAGAGACAGAAAGGGGGTTGGGTGGAGGTGTAACGGAGTAGGAGGTGGGATGGGAGAAATAGAGATAGTCCAGGAATAGGAAAGAGGTGGGAGGAAGAATGAGAAAGACAGGGCTAGAAATGAAAACTCAAATAGGGATGAAGGTGGGCAAAGGATGGGAAGAGAGAGGAATGAGTAAGGAATCATGTGATTAGCGACTGAGACAAATGCAGACAAACACTGACTGTGTAGCTATCCTGAAACTCTGCCACCGGAGGGCCATGGCTCAGATTTGATTTTTAAAATGTCTTCCAAATATAAGTGAGTCAGAAAAGGAAAAATATTCTCAAACGAATTTGACGGTTTTAGCTATGCTGGGCAAGATACTACAATGTCAGTATAAATAAGTTCAGGAGAGCGAGTATAGGTATCATTGATCTGCTTCAGTTTTTGGTTTTCAAGATGACCCAAGGAAAAGAAATCAAAATACAGAGGGGAAAACAAACAAACAAAAAAAATCTCTATCACATTAGGTTATAATGGAGGTAACAAGTTTCTGGGTTTTTTTCAAAATGATACCCTTGATGCAAAAATGTGTGAAGTAGGGGAAAACATATGGACTTTAGATTCATTTCTAGATTAAAATTTCAGCAGCACCCCTTACCAGACATATGAAGATGTGTGCTACAAAATAACCTGTGTAAAACACTTGGCACAGTTCCAGAAATTAATCATTTTTTCCCATGTGATATCCTTACTATTCTACAAAATAAGAAAAGATAAAGACTCTTTGCTGCTCTTGTTGTATTAAAATGCACCTCTGTGTGGTACTCAGCACTGTGCTTAGAGCTATTAAGATTTATTAAAAATTACAAGAATCAGCATAGGCCTTATAGACTTTACATGGTTGTTGGGAAGCGGAGATATACAGTACAAAACAATTCTAGCCATGTTAAACTTCTCCACCTACGCTACAGGTTCTGGAGAAGTGCTAAGATTTTGGATTCTACTTTACTAGACCAGGAAAACCAGAGCAGACAGGGGGATGGCACTGGAAGAGGGGTACAGGGGCAACCGCAACCATGCTTAGAGCATCTGCTGGGGGGCAGGCTCACTGTTTCCCATGTGGTCAGAAATGACTTCATGAGGGAGGGGCTAGCACTACACATTAAAGGTAGGACTTAGATATTTAGATGGGAAATTACAGGGGTGAATTTACAAAGCAGGGCTAGAAAAGAGAACAGGAAAGGATGCACATTGGTAGAGCCTATTCCAATAATCAGTTATTACATAAGTATGTAAAGTATCTTGGAACAATGATAAAACAAAGATAAAAACATTTTTGAAAATCAAAGACCTTTCATATACTGTATGCCATGGCTTAGGTTCAGATTTTCCCTTCTTTTTAAGTATTCAGTACATAGATGTGCATATCCCAATAATTCTACTTTAAAAACTTTCACAAAGATATTTGAATTCTATTTTTAAAAATCTGAAAAAATTAATTATAAGTTATTTTTTCCAATCAGATTAGAAAACACGGTTAACCTCAGAGTGTTCATAGTGTAAGGAAATGGGCATTCACACAAACTCTTGGTATATATTAAAATTATAAACATGCATATCTGTTGACTATCAACCTACTTCTAGAAATTTATTCTAAGTAGAAATATGCCCAAGGACTTTCAATATAGTATTTTATATAATATTAAACAATTGGAAACCACTTAAATGACCATCAATAGGCTACTGGCTAATTTTGATTCATAATATATAAGTAATTATATTTATAATAAAATACTATTCAGCCATTAAACTTATTATGTACCTCTGTATCTATTAACATGGAAATATATACTGAGCAAAACAGAGGCATACACAACCATTTTTGTGAAATTGTGTGTGTCTGTGTGTAGAAAAATGATCAACACGTTAGTGATGGTTATATCACTATTGTGAGATTTAAGGTGATTTCTACTTTCTTTACACTGTGTAAGAGGTTTATCATTAATATTACTTACAATTAGCATGTAATCTTTTTAACAATATGAAAAAACAATAACTCTATTTTCATTTTGGAAAAAAAATAATCTTCCCCAATTAATGACAATTCTGTAGCAAAGTAATGGCCAGCTGGCACCAGCCAAGACAAGAGAAGATGAGCCCCCACCAGGGGCATTTACTGCCTTTTCACAGGGCAGATACTGGGGGTAACCACTGTGTGAGAGAATTCCCTTCTCATCAAGGGGCTTTTGGAAAGAGATTATAGGAGAGATAATCCCAGTTTATCCTGTGTCTAGATGCATCATTTAGTCTTCTGTCTTTACTGGACTGTGAGCTTCTCAAGGCCTGGGAAAGTGTCTTACCAACATTTTCGTGTGTCCAAAGCCTAGATTAGACATGCAGGAAGCAGTTAATTTGTACAATGGGACTGTAATAAATCGCCATGCTTTGTTTGCTCCTGCACTATAAAAGAGGCTTTGGGGAAGTCCCTGATCAAAACTGCTCATAAGGTTATGTCTGGCACTCTATAGGCACCACTCCCAGCAAAAGGATCCATTAACTGAATTCAAACAACTGTCCTATTGTCTATATTTATTTTTACAAATGCAATGTTTTTCAGTTCACATATTTTTTCATCTGCATATATATGAGACTAATTTTATTATAATATTGCCATACTGGGATTTGTTTTCTAGTAGCATTTCTGTCCAAAGTCATTACAATGTACAAATACACAGTCATCTGATACAACCTAATGTCGGTGTGGATAATCTCAGAATGATTAGTCTTTTTAGTGTCCTGCCACCATGGTTACTTTGCTATCGAAGCACCTAAGAGGGGAGCCCAGACACTGTCATGATCTACTCAGACTAAATTCTTTGCTCAAGACAGACCACTCCTTGCTTCTTTCTGGTCCAAATAGAATCAAATGCATAAAAAAAAAATTGAGCACAAATTCTCCTTTCTATATGACATACACATTAGTACATTAGAAATAACTGAACAAACTATTTCGATCAGAATTCACAGAATTGACATGAAGTAACTGCTCTTGACTCTAGCTATCCATTCATTTCTTCTCAGAGACAATGTTAGCAAATGTCACAGATAAGCAACAGTTAAACTGATTGAACTGCCAGTATCATTGATTAGTATTAGTGACAGTCAAGAGTGCCAGCAGTGTTCCTTTATTACACTTGGCATTTAATGATTTATTGGCTCCAAATAAGTAAACATAGAACTCTAGGTAGTTTGCTTTACCTTGGCCAGATGAGAGTTGATCCATTTTGTGAAAGTACGTTTTTGTACTATCTCTTGCTCATCTAGAAGAAAAAAAAAAATGAATGAAACTAGTTAGATAACACAGTATAACATGAAGTTGTATCCTAAAAGACATTGGGTTACAAAGTCTAGAAGTAATCATAATATTATTTTATCTTCTAACCCATTTTGCCAATTGTTGTCTTGAAGGAAGTGTCAGTACAACTCCAATTTGACTACTCCTTTAAACATTATCAGCAAATGCTTCAAAATTTTCAATATGTTAGCCCTATGTTTACCTTCATTCACTTATTGAAAGCTCACAATACAATTACACCTCAGTAAAGCTGTTTGGAAAAAGTTCACTGAGACCAACTGATTGCCAAGTTTTATGTTAGGTGCAGAGATAGAAAACAACAGGGCAATGTCTCCGCCATGAAAAATCTAGAAAGAGAGACAGACAAGCACGGGCATATGCATAGTAGAGGATTATACGGTAATGTAATAAGATAGAGCTGTGTATGTGAGGCATTACAGGGACTTCACCCAGATTGGATGACCTCCAAAGATCCCACCACTCCTTTTTTTTTAAGATTTTATTTATTTATTTGACAGAGAGAGAGAGAGAGAGAGCACAAGCAGGGGGAGCAGCAGAGGAAGAGGGAGAAGCAGGCTCCCCACTGAGCAGGGATTCCCCCACATGGGGCTCAATCCCAGGACCCTGGGATCATGACCTGAGCTGAAGGCAGCCGCTTAACCAACTGAGCCACCCAGGCACCCGGAGATCCCACCACCTCTTGAAGTCCACACCTTTGTGTAGGCAGACTGCAGGCAGTACCTGTGACTTGTTTCTAATCAACAGAATATGTCAAAGATGATGGGATGTCACACCTCTAAAGATGTTATTTTATGTTAGATTCCATCTTAGTTGACCAGAGTGAGAGATTCTCCTTCTGGCTTTGAAGAAGCAAAGAGCCATGTTGTGAACTGCCCATGGAGAGGGCCATGTGGAATGGAAGAAGAAGCTGCCTTTAGTGAAGGATGGTCTCTAGCCAAAAGCCAGCAAGAAGCTGGGGCCCTCAGTCACACAGCCATAAGGAAATGAACTCTGCTAACAACCCAAATGAGTTCGAAAGTACATTCTTCCCTCTTTCAGCCTCTGGATAAAAATGCAACCCGGCTGGTATTACGGATTTGTCTGCTTGATTACAGACTTGTGTGACCCTGAGCAGAGAATGCATCTAAGCTATGCATTGCTTTTGGACCCACAAAAATTTGAAGATAACAAATGAAAGTTGCTTTTCTTTTTGGGGGTTTTGTTTGTTTTTTAGAGAGGAGGTGGAGATAGTGGGAGGGTGATACAGAGGGAGAGAGAGAATCTTTAATCAGGCTCCACACCCAACTTGGAGCCCGACGTAGGGCTCAATCTCAAAACCCTGAGGTTATGACCTGAGCCGAAATCAGGAGTCTGCTGCTTCACTGACTGAGCCACCCCGGCACCCCCTGAAAACTGTTTTAAATTGCTAAGTTTGTGGTAATTTCTTGTGAAACAAGAGAAAACTCGCGTCAGGTTAAAAAAAAAAAAAGGTAGGGTCCAGAAAGGCTTTAATTAGAGGCATAAAGATAAGAAGGCCAGAGAGAAAGGAGACAGTTTAACACCTTTTAAGAAAAGGTGAGTTCTATTCATTCTACCAATATCTACCAAGTGTCAACTGTCTGTAAAACACTAGACCAGATGTTGTGAGGAACACAGTTGAACAAGACATCATTCCAATTCCTCACCCTTTCAGGGATAGTGCTCAGATCTATATCCCTGAAGCAGACCTCTCCTGGGCCTCAGCTGAGAACATTTAACTGCCTATGAGAATATAAGCATAAGCTCTATGACGGCAGTAACTTTGTTCCCAATACCTACAAATATGACCAAAAAAATACTGTTCAATGAAGGAATGAAGAAAATTTATAACAAAACATTTTAATTTGGAGAAATTTTGGATATATCCATAGAATTCACAGAATGTCATTATTTCAAATGTACTTTAAGCATGTGCTTTTAAACTTTCAAGTACATACAAAAACAAACGAGTATAATGATAGGCAAACTTTTTATGTACCAGGCACAGATAATCTATTTTTGTTCTTTTTTTGTTTGTTTTTAAGGAACTTAAGAATTATATGGGATGATTGAAGGGCTGAGTTTGAAAGAAGACAGATTTCTGTCTATTTCTTTTTGGAAAACCCAGATAAAATCTCAAATTGAACTGCAAAAGAAGCTGGAAATATAGCTTCTCTGTGTTCTCAGGAAAGGAAAAAAAGTAATGGAATTGGATGAACACCTACAATGTCCAGTCAAACTTTGCTGAAAGCTAAATTCTAATAATTTTATTTGCTTTATTAAATTTTTTTGGATTACATATCTTCCTTTGAGTTATCTGATACAACTGCCTGTAAGCAAAATATTTATTTTTAGACCTTTCATGATATGAATGGTCTGTTACATTGAGCATCAGATGACAACTAAATGTAGAGGAAAAAAAAATAATTTATTGGAAATTATAGAAAGTAAGTTTTAAAATGCTAAAATGACATGCTTTGGTTACAAATTTTAAAAATATTACTCCATTTTGTATGTTTTTTGACCAAGGAAAGATATAAAGGAAAAAATGAAGAATAATTTATTGTATCAAAAATGTGATCATTTTGGCAAATAAATGCTAAGTGAAACAATTAGCACAAAAGCAGCTTATTGTCATCTATAATATATAAATTCTGTGCTGTAACATAATATGACTCATAATGGTTTAAAGTCTTCTTATTTGCAGTATGGGAAGTGATAATGCAAATTTAACTTCTGGTCCCAAATGCTTTTAATTATTTCTAGTAGTGTTATTTCCCCAGCAAATCAAAGTAATTATTGATCGTTGGGTTTCAAATGACTCAGCAAGCAAATACTCTGGATGAATCTACATGTACATAATCATCCCTTCATCAAAATTATTAATGTCTTCTTTCCCTACAGAAATATTCCTAGCAAAGTCAGAGTACTGTTTATTCTTTTTTTTTAAGATTTTATTTATTTATTTGAGAGAGAGAGAGAGTGCAAGAGAGATCAGGAGCAGAGGGGAGGGGCAAAGGGAGAGGGAGAAGCAGACTCCCTGCTGAGCAGGGAGCCTGATACAGGGCTTGATCCCAGGGCCCTAAGATCATGACCTGAGCCTAAGGCAGATGCTTAACTGACTGAGCCACCCAGGTGCCCAGGGTACCATTTATTCTTCTGAACCATTTTTTTTTAATTCTAGTATAATTAACATACAGCATTATATTAGTTTCACGTATACCCAGGCACAGATATTTCTATCTCTATGTCTTTATATAGATCCTATTATATTTTAATTAAACCAATTATTATATACCATCATATGTAATATATACTTATTAACTCATTTAATTCTTGTAGAAAATCTTCAAGCAAGAAATATCATAATGCCATTTCACAAATAAGAAAACCGAGGCACGTGGAAGTTAAGCATTTTTTCCAAAGCCACCCAGTGGCAGACCCAAGTGTTCACCTCTACAAGTCAGGTTCTTATACCATTATACTAAGGAGAGCACAGAAATCATTGTATTAGTCCAAGGACAGCACAGAAATCATTATATTAGTCATATCAAATATTAATCATATTAAAATGATAAATTCATAGTTAAATCACTTTGAGTTTGACCTTAAAATCTTTAAGTTCTATAAATAAAGTCATGTAGCAGCAGAATAATCTTAACTAATCAAGCTAGATTTGATGGAATTCAGAACTTCTATGATATATGAAATCCAATTCTAAGTTTAAAATAGACTATGGGGGGGGCGCCTGGGTGGCTCAGTTGTTAAGCATCTGCCTTCAGCTCAGGTCATGGTCCCAGGGTCCTGGGATCAAGCCCCGCATTGGGCTCCCTGCCCCGCAGGAAGCCTGCTTCTCCCTCTCCCACTACCCCTACCCCTGCTTGTGTTCCTGCTCTTGCTATCTCTCTCTCTCTGTCAAATAAATAAATAAAATCTTTAAAAAAAATAAAAAAATAAAATAGACTATAGGTACAGCTAGAGTATATATAAAATCTTAAACTCAATTTCAGATTATGCACAATTTTATTAATGTTGCAAGATATAAATGTTTTAAAATCTTAAATTAGCATAGTGTTGTCATAAATTTAGGTAATAATATATTGATATTACTTCCTGATTTTAAGTTGTTATATTTTTACTACTCCCACCTTTAATGAAACAATACTGCTATTATAACAGTTTTCTTTGATGATAAATCTCTTGAGTTTATATTTAGACTTTGGCTAAAGGGCCTTTTTTTAGAAAGTTCAAATTATGAGGGTTTTTTTTTTTGGTAGCATTCATTATATATGTAAGTGTCAAATTCTCTACATGTTTCTTTTTATATTATGGCTACAAAAGCAGAGTTCATTGGGTCCTAAGAGTCTACTTTTTATATCATTGTATCAGACACAGCGAACTGAATTCTAAGTAAATATTTTCTGATTTTACTTACTATATTCCCCAAATAAAGAAAAATTCCTAAAACATGTCAGCAAATATTCATTTTTTGATACAAAAATCTAAATAATTTAGCCCAGGATTTGGTAATTATATCTGATACCAATAGCATAAAATGTTTCAGTCATGGAAGTAATATAAAACATGTGATGAATGTCTATCACATTGCATTAAAACAACATTATGAACAACAGCACTGTTTTATAAAGTTGTTGATGAAGAGCTGACCTAATCTCCATGATATAGGTTTATAGTTCTTGTGAATATGTAGTTATATTTGAGAAAGCATTATTTAAGTGTATGTAACTGTTAATCTTATAGTGATTTTTCTATCTTACACTTTTCAGAACAACAACATGATATGGTCTTACCAAGTGTCCACATGTATGCATGCTAAATATTTCCACTAAAATTGTAAACAGAGTAATTCATTAAGACATTTAGCTGAACATACATGTTAGTTGTAAACACAGAGAAGTTTGTTTATGTCATACACATAAACTTAGATCTCTAG